GCACACACACACACACACGCGCGCGCGCGCGCACACACACACACACACACTCACACACACGCACACACATTTCATTAAAACCAGGCGCCTGATATATGGCTGATATTGCCTTGCAGGGTGTTGTTTATCACGGTTATTGTATTGGTTAGCTGCAGTATAGAGGCACGAACTATACCAAGTACCGCAGTGCATGCCATACCAGGCATCAGTGGTCAGAGTATACCTGGCATCAGTGGTCAGGGTATACCTGGCATCATTGGTCAGGGGATACCTGGCATCAGTGGTCAGGGTATACCTGGCATCAGTGGTCAGGGGATACCTGGCATCAGTGGTCAGCGTATACCAGGGATCAGTGGTCAGGGTATACCAGGGATCAGTGGTCAGAGTATACCAGGGATCAGTGGTCAGGGTATACCAGGGATCAGTGGTCAGGGTATACCAGGGATCAGTGGTCAGGGTATACCAGGGATCAGTGGTCAGGGTATACCTGGTATTAGCAGCAATCGTCTATCGACTCTCATTAGACGTGTGTTAGCGACTGTCAAGCGAGAGCTCATCGTCAACCCAGCACTGCAGCAGCAAGGGAACCCGCAGCAGCAGCAACAGCAGCGACAGCAGCAGCAGCAGCGAGAACATCTACAACAAATACGACAGCAGGTGCAGGAGCGACAACATCAACGGCAACAGCAACAACAGCGGCAGCGGCAGTGGCAGCAGCAACAGCAACAACAACGACAAGAAGAACAAAGGCAGTGGGAGCAGCAGCGACAACAACAACGACAGCAACCGCAGCAGCGGCACCAACAAAAACAGCAGCAGCAGCAGCAGCAGCAGCAACAACAACAACAACAACAACAACACTCTCGTTCACTACTGAGTCTGCGGCTGCATGCGTTATACAAACAAAGGCATCGACTCGAAAGCCGACAACAAGAATTACAGCAACGACTGAAACGACCACAGCATCAACAACAACAACAACAACAACAACAACAACAACAACAACAACAACAACAACAACCACAACAACAACAACAAGGCGCAGGAGATTCCCTGCTCAACGTTCGGCTGCAGGTGACGTCATCAGCGTCTGGACAGATATCGTCGGTGATTCGTCGGCTGGAGCACGCGAACAGCGCCCTCTCTCGGCTGCGTGACGACATACGGCGTCTGCAATCCTTGCTTACAGGTAACCACCGCTGTCGATGCGTTACTATGGTTACGCTAATGTACTCAGAATATAATCGTGGAACTTCATTTTTAGAAGAATTAAGAATCATCGGGCATTCAATCATGATTGAAGCGTGTTTAGTTGAAATCACCTCGTATTCACATGTTTGAAGCATGTTCGGACTAATCTACGTGCTACGGCTATTTATTACGGCTATCTTATTCTCTCCCTTCATGCGCGTTCACATCAAACTTCTAGCGCAAATATTCTAGCGCTTTAAGTGATAAATATTACTTGGTTTAACACACGCGTCGCCTTTCTGCCCGTATGTCCATATCATCGTCGTCGTCGTCATCGGCATCGTCGTCGTCGTCGTCACCGGCATCATCATCGGCTCTGCAAGTGTCGTCTCTCCGTCTGAAACCGGAAGAAGAAAATTTTTCGTCACCATAATCTGAGATAATATTTTCGTGATGCGATGATGACGATGACGACGACGACGATGATGATGGCCTCTCCCAACGTCACAGATGAATTATTCGGGGGACTTATTCCCCTATTCGAAGCAGGCGGGGGTGGGTTCAATCAGGCAACGGTAAATCCTGGTCGCGTGAGAGTCCCGGGTCGAAAATAATGGTAAAAATCAGCCGAATCATGTCTCGTGGGGGTCTGTGTGTGTGTGTGTGTGTGTGTGTGTGTGTGTGTGTGTGCGTGCGTGTGTGTGTGCGTGCGTGCGTGCGTGAGCGTGTGTGTGTACAGCAGCAGCAGCAAAAACGGCAGCAGTAGCAGCAGCAGTAGCAGCAGCAGTAGCAGCAGCAGAAGCCGTAGCAGCAGCAGCAGTAGCAGCAGCAGTAGCTGCAGCAGCTAGCAGTCGCCAAGGGGCAATGATTTCACACTGCAGTGCTCTGTTGACGTCAGCACACCTACCGGATACGATCATCCAACCGTAACGACACCTACCGGACAGACATAAAGCTCAACCGCATCCTGGCACCAGGACAACCGGATGCAGACTGCATATATTATGTAAAACGCAAATTTCGCGTTGACGTGCTAGACTGGTCGCCCGTCGTCCTTGCAACGTGTCACGCCATCTACTCGCCTGCTGTGATGCGTGACGCGAACCACGCGCGCGGAAGTCTACGTGGCGTGCGCGCAAAATCTCTGTAACTATAAACGAAGATCTAGCTTTAGCATAATATGTTCGTAGTTTTACCGATTTTGACTTCTGTATATAACACATTAGTATGCTTAACCCACATACCGCTACGTACACGCAACTCGCAGTAGATGTGCCCAACGTATAGTTTTTTTTAATGCTTATACGGGATCATTTTTTAGCTAGAATGATTCACGAAATAGACGAACTGGGTTAGGTGCCTTCAGGGCATGTTGTTGCATGCGCATTAGTAAGGGGGCAGGGTCGCGGTTGACAGCCCCAACATGTACACATATATGGGACGACTGTAGTTTTAGCTGGTTAAATGCTGGCACAAGGAGTGCACCGTGTAAAGTGGCTATAGAGAAATACTGGCGAGAGAATATACTGATCTATGCAAGTGCGTAAGTAGCGGTAGCAAACAGTAGGATAATGAACGTCGGTGTAAATGTGGAATGTAACGTAAATGTAAAAGTGTAAAAGTGCCGAATTCATATTTTTCTCCGACTGACGTAGGTGGTGTTGGTGTTGGTGGTGGTGGTGCGGGGTGACGATACCTTAAGCGGTATAGTGCTGCGTCATAAGTTGTGAGCTTCTACTAGCGTTTGTTATGAGACCAGATTACCTCACACGAGCGATATTTGAGATTTTACAAATGTATCTTATGTGACAATATACTGCAAACATGGTAATTCTGTTCGTCGCTCAGCGTTTGAGGGTGAATTCTTTCTTGCGTTTCGTTTTTATTGACGTTTTAATTGATTTTCAAAAGTGCAACTATTTCAACAAAAATTAGGGTGACTGTCTATTCCTTTACAGCATGTGGTTCGTCACAGTTATTTTGTTGGTTAGCTGCAGTACTGAAGCAGGAGCTATGCCAGATAACACAAGTCAACCTATACCCGGGCACACAGGCCAGGGCATGCCAGCTGGCCAGTCTATGTCACGTAACTTCGGAAGTGTTTTGGTGGATATCGACCGACAGCTTATAACCCGAATACAAGAGAAGCGACAACAACAACAGCAGCAACAGCAGCAGCAACAACAACAACAACAACAACAACAACAACAAAAACAGCAGCAACAACAACAACAACAACAACAACAAACACAACAACAGCAACAACAGCAACAACATCCGCAACAACGGACCTCGGGTCCACTACAACGACGACGGCTGCATTTGCTACACCGTCTAAAGCAGCGACTCGACAGCCGACGACAAGAATTACAGCAACTACTGCAAATACTACAGCAACAACAACAACAACAACAACAACAACAACAACAACAACAACAACAACAACAACAACAACAACAACAACAACATCAACAGGAGCGGCAGCAACAACAACAGCAACAGCAGCAGCAACAAGGAACAGGAGACAAGGCCCAGCTCAACGATCAGCCACAGGTGACGTCGTCAGCATCTGGACAGATATCGTCGGTGATTCGTCAGCTGGAGCAAACGAACAGCGCCCTCTCTCGGTTGTCTGAGAACATACGGCGTCTGCAATCAGGAGGTGATCACTGCTGCCGCGTTGCTATGGTTACGTTAAGGTTCGCAGAATCGATGACGGTGATCTTTTTAGATGGCTGCGCGATAATTTCTGTATTCCTTCGCCTAAAGAATGTTTAGACTAGTATAAGTGTATTCTCCGCCTTCAAGCGCGTTCACATTCACAAGTTTGCTAAATCCGCGTGCTTCAATACAAGAGGCGAGCGCTTCGAGACAGCTACAGTGAGGTTTGGAGAGAGAGCTCGAGATCGACTGCATAAAATTACCTCGTTTATAACACACGCGCCACCTTTCCATCCGTGTGCCCATATATCACGGATTTACCTGTTTTAACTTCTAAAGCTTTCTTCATCCGGTTTCAGGCGACGGCGCGATGATACCTGCAGAACCGCCGCCGCCGCCGACGACGACGACGGCAACGAAGACAATGGCGATGATGATGGTCTCTCCCAACATCACGGACGTATTTAAGCCCATTCGCCCCTTGTTCGCAGCAGGAGGAGGTGGATTCAATATAGGAGGAGTGCCACCCGACCCACGCGAAGCAATCCCCGGTCGAAAATAATGGCGGAAAAACAATGGCGGAAAAGCAATGGCGGAATAAATAACCGCAGAAATATAATGGCGGGAAAATAATCGCGGGAAAATAATTGCTGAAAGTGAGGACAGGAAAACAATGGGGGGAACAATCGTGGGAAAATAATGGAGAGCAAATTAGGGCTAGTGATGTTGTGAACTTGTGGGGCGTGCGAGGCAACATCTACAAATAATTCCTGTAGGGGAAATATATATCATTACATATTATAATATAAATAGTATATATATATATATATCTGCGAACGTGGCTAAGGGGAAATAACTTACTATATGTGACGCTGCTGTTGTGGAATTCTGCCCTAGCGCTTTGGCACTCACATATTAGTCAACTCACATAGTGACAAGTTAATCTTCTCACGTCACAATTCATCCATGCTGTGCATACGTCAGTTTAGTAACATCGTCGTCTTGTGCGTGTTTTTCATAGGGTTCGGTAACTATATATATATAGATAATATATATATATATGAAGATATATATAATACAAGTTTATATATATTATAATATATGCAGCTCGAAAAACTGATATTAACACGAAAAGCTTCCAATATGATTGAATGTTTTTACACGCCGGGCTATAACAGCTGATCTATCTAAAAGAAATTAAAAAAATACTTCCCTTTAAACGGGCGTCGTTAATAACCCTAGCAAGCGGCAGTGAATAAAGACGTCCAGACAGAATTGTCCAGATTGCTTTTACACCTGCACCCCTGCAGATCCTGCACATCAAAAGGTTTGTTAATTGATAATTATAAAATTCTTCAAAACATCCAATCACAGTTAACATCTTTTTTCCAACCCACCTTATTATGGCTGCGTACAGGACGTGATACCAACCTCCGCCGGACACTCTTCGATTTCAAGCACCGCGTTTACAAACGTCTGCAACCCCTGAGCCAACCTGGCTCATACCCGTTGTCGGAAACGTTGCAGTACTTGGCCAATTATCACGAATAGGGTCTGTGTTCAAGACCTCGGTGCAATATTATAGGTGCGCGAATTCATTTTACATGCCGTCCTCGACGAACCTCATTTACGCATTCAATGCGTTTAAATGCCAAATTCTACTTAATATGGCGAAACAGAAACGCCGCCTGCGGATAGGTTTGGAACACTAAGATCATTCGCCTAATTCCTGCGTTCCGGTTTCCCCGCAGAGATGGCTGGGCGCCGATTCCGTAGGCGGCCGCTGCCCTGCTGACCATTTTAACCATACGATCACCCTGGATTGGACGTGCGTGTGTGTGCTGCTAACTGACACCATATGACAAAGCTATATTCTGCGACACATGACGCAGCAGAAATTAATTCTCGAGGTTGGTTGTTTAAATCCAAGGGCATGACGTAACTTATTAGCGTGTGATTGTGTCCTTGCTTCTGCTGTGTTTGGTCGTCGTGTGGATATTGATGCTGCTGTTTGTGTTGGGTAGTGTGGTGGGGGTTGTGTGGGGGCGGGCAATCCGGTTGCTTCTCGATCAATCGGTGGTAAGTGACCCACAGTGCGGGCGACCGAGTTTGCCGCTGGGTTTGCATTGCGCCCTCATCGCTGCCCGGCTGTTGTGTTGTGTGTGTTTGGGAACTCCGAATCTTGTGATGTTGGTCCTTTGCTCTCGCGCTTATCTACCGAATTGTACAGAAAAATAGCGTATGAACGAAGGCGGAGGGAGGGGGGAAGGAAGAAGCGCGCCGCCTGTATGCGCCGGGATTGGTCGCCCTGTTTAAAATGCCCCGTGCCCGTTGGTTATGTGTGTTTGCTTTGTGTTCCCTGATTGATGTGGTGCTGTAGATCGGTGTGGTTTGTGTGGGGTGTCTCTGTGTGTGTGTGTTTTTGTGGCGTGACTTTTATAGTAGTATATGTTCGTTTCTCTTTGTTGTCCGCATTCATGGCCAAGAGAAAACGCATCCCGGCGAATTTGGGGTGAATATAATTTCATTTGTTAGTCTCTAAACGCATTCTATTTGTTTGAGTATTCGGTCGTGATTCCAGAGTCTGCGTGGGTGTAGCGCGTGATGTAGATCCGAACCCATGGAGCTCTCAATTAAAGTACCCTTAATATATACTTACTTTAGTTCTATCTACGACGTGTGACTTAGTTTAAGTTACTAGGCTAGTATTATATAGTATTATAATATAGACCCATATATATAATATAAATTGTATGATATATATCCTTGGTACTGAGTGATAACTTGTTAACCCTCGATCCAATCTAGCTCATCTCGTCAGCTCACTATCTGTTATTTACGACTCTGGTTACGAATGGAGAGAGAGTACCGATTCAGAAACAGAGTACCCGAAAGCTTGACTAGTACAATAATATGACGAGATAGATTGCCTTCGAGACTTTTATTGGGCATGAGAGGGCTATATATGTGACAGATTTGTGAATACAGATTAGCTCGTGTCCTTGCACAATAATGCTTTAGTTGTATACGGTACGCCACACGCCAGCAGTTATATTGTGTTCCAAGAGCCTCTATTTGCGCGACCTGGCACCCACCTAGTGGCACTCTCGGAGATTACGCGACTCGTATGGTTCACCTTTAGCCTTTGCTATGTTGTTCTCTCGCTTAGGCGCATGGACGTCTACAGTCGCCCACCGCTGATATCGTCAGTCGATAATGCACGTTTCTGTGGCGAGAGTCCATGATGGTCAACCGCCCGTGTATTATTCACTCTTGACGTCACATACTACCAATTGATCGACCGAACCCGTACTAAGATGACGGCTGTGTACTGATACACTGCCAGATACCCTCACCCGTAGACGTTGGCTGGGAGGATACGGCAAAAGGTGGACGCGCGCGGGGGAGAAAAGATAATGGGAACAAAAACCAATGAAATGAAGACCCTCGTCTCTAGATATGACGCGAGTTTCCGCCAGCACCTTTGCCTCATGCATCAGGTGTATCTACCTGATCGGAGCACGGCGTGCGGACGGATGATGACATGTACATATAACGCGCGCACACAACATATACTCTGCCCGCTAGCATATCATGCGTGCGTGCCCTATCGTTTATTATACTAGACTAATCAGCATAAGAGTATAATCCACCAGCTTGTTCCATTGGATTACGTGAGATGGCTAGGGCAGTAGACTGTGTGACGGTCATAAGATGGTCAGCGTAGTTCCGCAAACACACCAGGTCCGCTTCAAGCGTACGAAAACTCGCAAGTCAACCTGTGATACAGTATGCTCCTCGCCTAAGTATCAACGTAAGATCGCGTCTGATGTCGCCTCCCTTTCACTCGTACCAACCGGGACTACGGTCGTAGGCTGTCGTGTTTCTGATTTCCTCTGCTACTTAAGACAACCGTATTGTGATATCGATAGCACGTGATATGTAGATTCTTTAGGTCTGTTTGTTATGTTAAACTTCTTTGGAACGAATCATAAGACTTAAAACGAGTATCAGCTGGTGAAGATAAAGTAGCAGGCAGAACGCTCTGCAATCACCCTCGTCTATTTCCAACCGATGGCATACGCTCTACCAAGCGCTGGAACATTTGCGTCAGTGGCCCGGCCTCACTCATGAGATATCGTAACGGAGTTCGCTATATTAAGTCGTGTATGTGTATTAGTTGCCAGCTCTGCTCGTTCGGTCGCTCCGCACCCTGTCGCTATCGTACCTTTCTGTCTCTATCTGTTCATCCTGCCGCTTTTTTTCTTGTCCCACAGTGCTACTCCGCTGATCGCGCAGCTATCTTATCTCCGCTCAGGGACGATTCCTCCCAGGGGCCTCGAAGCGCGGCATGCGACGCCAGCCGAAAGAAACGCCAAGAGAACACCGAAAAACCGCCGGACAACTGGACGCACGCACTACACCACGCGACGCACACACGCAGCATCCGGACGCACGAGATGTTAACGTTGTACGCAACGCACGTCACAGCAAGCAGCGCACAACACGCGCACGCACACCACGCACGCACGCACGCACGCACGCACGCACACACACACACACACACACACGAACGAGCGTGCTTACACGCATACAGAGAAGGGAAGGGGAGAGATAGAGAAGTATAGAGACGATGCGGGGGACTACTGAGTCCGTAACTTAACGCATTTATTCTATGCTGAGATGTGACGATGTCTCAACTATCTTTCAGGATGATATCGCTCTTGGTTTTTTTTCTATGCTGAGAGTGATACGTGACTCTATCTTCACTATATCTTTCAGGATGATATCCCTCGTAGTTTTTATTCTATGCTGAGATGTGACTATATCTTCGCTATATCTTTCAGGATGATATCGCTCGTGGTTTTCGCGCTGCTGTGCGGAGCCTGCAGTACCGAGGCAGTCAGTCCGCCATTAGGTAACGCTGGCACCGTCTTCATAAACCCGAACATTCGGCAAAGAGATTCCCGACCATTTCCGGCTGCCGGGAATAACGGGAACTTCCGGTTCAGGATCGATCCTAACGGAAATATTGACCAGGGCACGCAGAGAGGTCAAGGTCAAGGTCGTATTGGCGGAAACGGAAACGGATTCGAGGAAACGGGCCGTAGGTTTATCGAATTGTATAATCGATATCGGATTGTGCAAGACGGCCGACCCCAGGTGGCGCCACCCGGCTTTTACCGACCACTCACGGACCAGGAAATACGGTCGATCCTACGGCCCGATGGCGCCCTCTATATTATTGGCCACAGGATACAAGATAGATTTATAAGGCGTCAACTACAACGACAACAGCAGCAGCAGCAACAGCAGCAGCAGCCGAGCGGTCAGACGACGCCAGTCGTCGTCATTCTCCCGGAAGTTAGAGCGGAAGCCATCCCGCAGCTGTACGAACTTCTCCGAAGGGAGGGATACCTTCATAAAGGTAAGAGTCGTCAGCGTGGTCGCCGTCAGAGGCGCTAGTGTTCCCATTGAACAGCGTCGGTGGAGACGGTTGTCAGGGTGGTTTTATTGCTAACATTATAATTATACTCGGTGGTATGATTATTATTATGGTTAACATTATAGCTCGAGTGATATGCGCATGGTATATGATCGAATGAGATATCGTCAGCATACCTCCTACCACTGAGATTGCAATCACACACACCTTACCATGCACTGAGGTTGCAAGCACACCTCCCCTACACTGAGATTGCAAGCACACACACCCTACACTGAGATTGCAAGCACACCTCTCCTACACTGAGATTGCAAGCACACCTCCGCTACACGGAGGTTGCGGAGGGTCCAAGTGAGCTCCTCTTCATTCACTCAGCGTCTATGTGATTGATCGGTCGATGAGCTGTCTCTCGTTGCGATTTCTGCCTGTATCCAGTAAATATCACTTTTCTCTTTCAGGATCGCATGCCGCGCGCAACCCCCCGTCCATAGACATGCCTCCCCCCATCACCGGACGCTCTCCTTCTCTCACCGGAAGGCCACGCTTGTCACGGAGTTCCCCCCTTCCTTCACGGAAGCTCCCCTCCCTTCACGGAAGCTCCCTCCCCGTCACGGAAGCTCCGTCCCCCGGTCTCGCGAGATAATATGGTCTCCCCCTTTACGGGGAGCTGTATTGACTCGGAGGACCCGGAGCGCTGTTAATGATTTTCGAGTGGGTGGGAGGGGGCGGCTTCAATAACGGGGGGTCTGATGTCTGGTGAGAGAGTGCCGGCAAGGAAGTAATAGAGGGCGGATGGAAGAGGAGGAGAGAGGGAGGAGTAGGAGAGAGGAGAGGAGAAGAAGAAGAGGAGGAGGAGGAGGAGGATGAGGAGGAGGAGGGGAGGAGGAGGAGGCCGCGTCACGTATAGCAATGACGTTATGCGCAGTCAGGGAAGCGCAGTGAATGTATTGATAGCTGTGTCTGTCTGTTTGTCGGTCTGTCCGGGTCTGTTCTGATCGTCCATCTATAATCCAGTACATCGGATCATCCATACCATCTGTCTCTATTCGCGCGCACACACGCACACACCACACAGCCATGCAGCACCACACAGCACAAACACACCAACGACACACACACCACACCACCACACACACACAGTCCACATCACACACACACCATAACACACACAACACACACACACACACACACACACACCACACACACACAACACTAACACACACACTTACACATTACACACACACTTTTACCACACTCTCTCTCTCCCCTCTCTTTGCTCACGACCACTGCTCTCTCTCTTCTCTCCTCTCTCTGCTCTC